GCTATCACCCATCAAAATCCGTGCTCTCACCGACCTTAGTTCTCTGGCGTTGCCGATAGGCGGCGCTGGCGTCGCGTCCCGCGCTATGGCCGCGCCTGGCGCATAACGCTTATCCATACCTTCAAAACTCATGGAAACGTCTTAAATTCTTCAAATTTTGAGTACCCCAGTGCGAAATTCGCCCCGACGGGTTGTCGGTCGTACCCCAACCACATTTCACACCACTATGAACAATAAATGCACACACTGAAATCGCTATTACCGATATGCTCATCCAATCAAGTTTCGATAAACCCGTCCATCATCATCTCTTGCGGTTTCGAACACGCCTGTTAGGTGGTGCGGTAGACCGCGCCCAAAGCCAGGGCCCCGGTAACGTGAGGTAGCCGAGTCGGGGCAGCGTGCGCTGACCCAAGCCGGGGCCGTGCGTCCTCCCGGTGTCATGTGATAGCCCGGGGCTGCCCGCGGGGATGCGGTAGACCGCGCCCAAAGCTGCGGCCCCGGCTTGGGTCAGCACACGCTGCCCCGACTCGGCTACCTCACGTTACCGGGGCCCTGGCTTTGGGCGCGGCTTCTGCTCATACTTTGTGGTGCGGTGGTGGTGCGTCGGGCCGCGCGCTCTGACTTCGACCAAGAAAAATGCGTCAGTTGATCATTGTCATTTCTGCCACTTGCGTGTGGTGAAATGGGGTCATAACTTAAGAGACGGCTTTTTCATATCAATTATTTTACATAAAATCATATTTCAAACCATAAATAATGTTCGACAGCCAAATAAAAGAAACAATACCAATACAGGCTTACAGTTTAAGGCTCGACATTGTGTTGTCTACGAATAGACAGCTGATTACTCCTTCCCGTACGTCGTAACTCTATAATGACCTTTGCTTATTGTCACATGTGCGCCGCATTCGTGATTGTTGCCGACGCCTGTTTGCAGCTCAGCCCACTACAGTTGTTATACATATCGAAAAACCGATAAACTTTTAGGCGAAAAAGGCACTATTCCAGGCCCATTTTTGATTTTTTTGCGATATTAGGTAAAAACAGAAGCTTCTTATCCTAGGAAAAATAAAATGGGAAATCTTTCAAAGGTGGCACACTACCTTTAAAGTTCTTGACATAATTTGCACTGTGCACAAGCATAGGAATGTAATCAATCAGTTAGGCAAGCTCTCTGGAATGCAAAGGTCTATCTGCATTGAACTGATAACTTGCACAAAAGGTGAGATTGAGCAGTTGTTCTTCCTGAAGCTGTGAATTAATTATTACGGATGCTTGATGATGGAAGAAAGGCGAGATGATAACGACCAGCAATATCCTTGGTCGTTGGGCATGTTATGTTCCATGGTAAATATACATCAACATTTGTCCAACGATTAGAAAAATATATCCCGCGTGACCTTTGGAACGGCTGTTGGTAGTCTGTCCCACAGGGCACCACCATAGTTCCAAACGATGGGCTCCGCTGCTTTGACGCACCAGTCCATAGGCGTCGCCAGAGATTTTCGGTTGGGGGGGCAAAATCGATTTTGGTGCTAAATCTTGCCTTTCTACAGTCATTACTCACACGTTTTACATGTCATTCGACGCGCCATGGCGCGAAGAATGCAGTGGTGGCAAATATTTTCCTCTAGCTATGAAATGCAAAAAAAAATAGAGTGGACGACTTCGGTAAAATCAATGCTTGGCCCATTACCCGTTAGGTACGTCAGTTTTAGCAGGGCAGAACCTTGTTATGGGGAGGCCGGAGGGCACAGTGGGTCTTTGGGACCCCCTCCCTCAGACGGGCCCCCGTGCAGGTGCTCCCGATCCTCATCCAGAAGAAGTTAAAAATGATCCAGGCAGTCGGTTCACCCTTCTAAAAATCCGTTTCTTGTATGCATAATTGCATAGTTTTTGCGATGTATTTGTTGTATTTTCCACTCGACTTCGACCCCGCACTGAAAACACTTTGGAAGAACGTTAAGAACGTACAGGGGTATTTAGACCCCTGTGGGGTAAAATGTTATGCCACCGTTTTTCAGAACCTCCATGGTTCTTCACGTAGACGGCTTTGCATTCTCATCAAAAGAATCCACACGATTCTTCCAAAGACTCTTATGAGGTTTAGGGTTTATAATAAGAGCGTTCTTAGCACCTAGATAAGAACCCCAAAGGGTCTGTGAAGAAGTCCCTGAGGTTTATAGGGAAACCATCCTGTATTCTGAATATCGGTTGTAGAACCCTTTCAGTTCTATTGCAATACCGCAAAATCCCCGTTCATTCGTCTATTGAACCTCCCATGCATGGCTATCGACCTGCGCCGTCACATCTGCTGCGCAAACACAGTACTTGATACACCTTAAAATGTATTACCTTCCTCTTTACTCTGAGCAATCAGCCTGCAAGTCTCCAGTCAGGAACAACCAGCCCGCAACCAGCCCATGCGATCAGCCCGCAACCAGCCCGCATTCAGTCTGCGATCAGCCCGCAATCAGCCTGCAGGAACGCTTTCCATTCGGCCGCGTCACTTGCCTTACACATCCAAGCCAAAGAACTCCAGGAGGCAAATATGAACACATTTTTAGCTTTAGCAAGTGGATGTTTTCACATTTGCGCTATCGCCCATGTCAGCAGCCGGGTGGCGATATCGCATTCTCCCAAATCACATACAGTTTCTCCTTCCACCACCAGCCTCAAGCCAGCGTTTTCGACGATGTCGACGTCTCCGCGCGGCGCGCGCCAGGACGCTCTCCTCAGACTCCAGGGCCTCAATCAGAGCGGAGATGGCCTCGTCCCCTAGAATGAAGAGTCGGGCGGATGCGTTATTCAACAGGCAGGGAGTAAAGAAACTTAGATTGACTTCAGAGACCATGAGCCTACTCCAAAAATAAAATAATGCACTTGACATATAAAGTGCAGTATAGATAAAATATTGCACTAATCAGCACGAACATATGTTTATCAAAATCAGCCAAATTTATACCTAAATCAATTGACCCCAAAATGGCAAGCTGATTCTATTCCTGGTTTATCTTCATTTGGAAGATTTGTCTAAGTACCACATGCATAATTTAAGCTATGGGGCATTTATACAACATATAAATACTTACTGCATTGATTGGTCTTGCATATGAATTGTCTTCATCCAATGCATTCATCCATGCATTTGAAGAGCGTTGTGATATTGCTTATTATGGTCAATCACAAGTAATATAAATAATACACAACACTTGACAAGCAAAAAATTAACCTTATTTCAGTTCTTCAATATTTGATTACTTGCCATTCACCCAATCTTGCACCAGCCGCTCGTCACTGCACAAAGCGTGATCCAACGCGATCGAAAAATGGCGATCGCTTCCGGTGGACGCTAGAACGTGGTACCGCGGGCGTGGTCTTGATGAAAGCCATTACACTGATTAAACCACAACCCCTTCTTCTTAAACCCGATGCTAGTCCGTGCAAAACCTTCAAAGGGTTTATCTTTCGCGCGCTTGGTGTGACGTAATATCACGTGACTAGGGAGAACGAAGAAGAACCGGTGTCGGTCGAGTTGAAGCCCCCCTGGGGCCACTAAGATTGCACGCGAAGAAGCAGCACGTGTCTTCGGTCTATGTGAAACACTGTGTGTGTTCTTCATGAACCAGACGTTCTGCTTCGCCTCTAAGCCAGTTTACCCTAATACCCAAAAAACCTAAGTGTGGAATATTTTAAGATGCTTTTGCATAACGTTCTTTCAACTTGTTTTCAGTGCGGCTTCCAAAATCAACTTCGACCCCGGCTCCCCAAATGGGATCTGACTCCGGTCAGAGCTGTCGACCCGACCGACTCCAAAGTCCAACCACGACCCGCAGCCCTGCTCAGAGGCACACGTGGCCCCTCAGATGCTGGTTTTGGGTCTGCAAGAGCCCTGTGTTGCCTCAAGAGCTCGGCTGGGCTAACTATTAGAGGTCAGCGAAGGTTTAAAAAAATATCCGAAGGTCCTTGTTCGAAGATCCGTTTCTTTCATAGACCTGCCGTATGGATGATTGGAATGACTATCAGAGACTGCCATTGGCCATTGGACACCGATGGGACCCTCATAGACCAGTATGGGGCCGTTGAGGCAGGCGGAGGCCCTCAGAAAGACTGTCCAAGTAGCCCTCAAATATCTGCACCTAAGCCTTCAGAATCAGCAGTGGGAGACCGGAGTGGTGTTCGCAAGTGCCGGCCCGAGGGCCCCCAGAGGTCGGTTTGGGTTCCTCGGAAGTTAGCGTAGGACGTTCTTAGAGTTCAGTGGGGATTTTTAGGAGCATAAGAGCGGCCTTTAATAGCCCTGTGGCACTTTAACGGCACTTGAACATGCCGCAGACATTTAGCCAGAACTGGAAAAGACCCTGACCCAAATTCGAAATTTTCGAGCTAGGTCTTCACATAAAAATTTCGTGACAAAATTTTCATAGACTGATGAAAACCGAGCATAGAACTCAGCTAAAACCAACCAATACATCCAATGAATCAAAGTATTGACATGTCCGAGTTTGGAGTCAAAGTCCGGAAGAATTTGGTGACTCTCACTCAGACTCTCGCTGGGACTCTCGACTCTGACCAATTCTGACTTCACAGGACATTTTCGAAAACTACCCCCATTTTTTGCCGACCCCAAAATCTCATCGGATCTGCATCGATCTCAGGGGGTGCCCGGCCGGAGGTTGGGGGGGCAAGCTGCCCCGCTTGCCCCCCCGTGGCGACGCTAATGGAAGGAGCTAATGCACCAGTCGATGGTCGAAACAGCCTTGTGCCTCTCGCTCATCCCATCATCTGATGGTCATGAGTTGGTCTAAATAAGTCGAAATGACCTACCCCCCCCCCCAAAAAAAAAAGAAACGAATAAACGGCCAATAAGAGCATACAAACAAATCAAGGGTCATACTATTTTGAAAATTATGCTTAAGGTGTGCAGAGCCGGAGCCCAGAAATTCAGTCTCACTAGCTTATTCCCGTAAGGAGTATTGCAAAGATCTAATTAGAGTGTTATCACCATTGTATTCGTATTTCGTAGCTCCACGGCGCATACTTTCTTTGGACCTGTGCCAAATATTGAGCGTGTGTCATGTGACTGCCTGTGACGTCGAGCACTACAGCTGTCTAATCGTACCGTGAATTATAGGTTATCGATATCAAGATGGCGTCCGTGACATGAATTGAATCGCACCCGAAAACCACCCGTGAAAAGACCCGAAGAGCAGGACTGCTGAACTGCGATGGTGCTGCCGTGTAGCGAGAGACACACGAACCAATGGTGAACACCTAGCGCCACCTTTGGGAAGGCAATGGAAGCTGAGAGTCCGCGTGCGACATGCATGCCGCGATCCTACTACGGAACAAGCGCAAAACAAAGAAGAAGAAGAAGGGAGCCGGGAAGTTCGATCCACCACCTCGTCATGTGGCGACACGAGAAATACCTCCGTTTCCGTCCCATCCCCCGTTCAGAGCGTGGGGCACCGACTCACAGCAGAGAGCGGCACTAGACCAAAAACGAAAGGTAAGCATTAGCAACTCAGGGCCCAGTTCATATAGATCCCCTTTGCTGCAAAGGGACACTTACTGGAAAGGGGGACCCGGCAGATGGGTTCATATAGCCACCCTTACACACCGGTACAAATGTTACCAAAAGTGTCCCTTTGAAAAGTGGCACTTTGGAAAAGTGACACTTGCGGGCTGGCTTTTCTATATGAACTGGGCCCTGGTGGTAAGTAGAGGTGCCACAGGTTTAGAGTTCATGCTGCTAGGTGGCAGCACTAGCAGGCCACAATGCAGCCCCGCTCTGAGGCTAGCTCGTTGGATGAGCCTTACAAAAAGCTGCACCTTTAAAATAAGGGCGAAATTTGACGTGAAGCGCTAATTGAGCTAAGCCGATCACAGATGCCCAGCCAAAAGCATCCGGCTCAATCAACATAATTGGGTCTTGTGTCATTTTAAAATTGTTTTCGATTTTGGAATTTATTTAGTTCAAACTCAGCTATCCGTGCTCGATGCTCATAGATAGTCTGTCTCCATGTTCGCTCACTGAATACAGGGTAGGATATGACTGAAATACAACAGTTGCCTATCACTCGGATAAAATTCACCCTGAAGACGGAAATCGCTAAAATTACTGACTATAGTTCGTTTTTTTTTCAAAAGGACGCTGGCTCCAAGTATGTTTTTCGAACAAGCACGTGTTTTAGCGAGCAAAACGAGCAAAACCTGAACCTGAGTAAATCGAACGTCGACTAATTTTAACATGTGATTTCTTCCCGATAATTTCCATATGTGCGTTTTGGAACCATATATGAGAACAGTGGTTAGACGGAACTGCTTACTCGATTATAAGCTCGGCAACAGTGAAAAACTAAGTTTCACCCAAATTCGTTGACACTTGTCCCATTGCACGGACATTTGGGTGCCTGCTGCCACCAGTGACGTCATCATAGTATGTTCATTTTTAAGAAACAATTTCCAGCTACTTACCGTGCACAATTTGAAATCGGTTATTTTTCGCCAGACACTGAAGCTGCCAAAACTCACGTGAGAGCTTCGATATTGAACTTTCAGCCAGCGTCCTTTTGAAAAAAACGAACTATAGTCGCTTGATGGAAGCTGGCATTTTAGGGTAGCTAGTTGCATTTCATAAGGTTTTATAGAATTTTAAAGGTAAACTAATGATTTCTATAGGCGTTGCTCGGTGCTCCTAGCTGCTCGACAAATGTGTGGTTAGCTCGTGTCCAGAAGTGAATTCGTCAGCTGGTAAAATAACCGTTTTTCTGGCAGTGGTCGTCGATCGTCACCAGCTTGCGGTCCTGGTGGCGAAATGCCATAGGCTGGATAACATCTTTATGCTGGACGGTTGGAATTTCAACAATTTTCACTTACTTTATAATATATACGCACAAGTTAGGTATCGCTTTTTTATCAGAACATCACATCTAGACCTAGTCACTTATAGTTATTTTCTGATAATTAGGTCACTTTATTGATCTGTGGACATGAATTGCGTTCACCTTACCTTCTAAGGACTTGTAAGTATATTTTTGTAAAGACGTTTGCTTGCATAGTTTCGGCAATCATTTGTCGCCTTTCTTCACATTATTGATCCTGTACATATTATATTCCTTGAGGGTCTTTTTTTGTGCTGACTAGCCGTACCAACCTATGCAACGGATGATGTAGGTACTAGGTATAGACGTCGTTAGGACTTCCAATCATGCAATGCATTAACGACTTTGTTTACAGTCATTCTGATTTACTGCTGTGACCCAAAACACCCTTACGACCCCGTAACATTCTAATGCATCAGCGCACATATTTCCCGCGACGATATTAAGCGTGATTCATAGGCTGTACAGAAGCCATACCGATATAATGTACGTACAATCTAAAACGACTAATGTGTCTAAGGTATGAGACGGCATGTCAGCAATCGTTTTTTCCGTTATTCGATCGTCGCTTTGGACGAATTGGCTGTATATACGTGATACAGAAAGTTTATGCTTGTAAAGATCTATCCCCCCATCCCTCTTTCTTTCTTTTTTCTCTGTCTTTGTATCTCTCTCTCTCTCTCTCTCTCTCTCTCTCTCTCTCTCTCTCTCTCTCTCTCTCTCTCTCTCTCTCTCTCTCTCTCTCTCTCTCTCTCTCTCTCTCTCTCTCTCCTCTCACTCACTCTCTCTCTCTCACTCACTCACTCACTCACTCACTCACTCACTCACTCACTCACTCACTCACTCACTCACTCACTCACTCACTCACTCACTCACTCACTCACTCACTCACTCACTCACTCTCTCTCTCTCTCTCTCTCTCTCTCTCTCTCTCTCTCTCTCTCTCTCTCTCTCTCTCTCTCTCTCTCTCTCTCTCTCTCTCTCTCTCTCTCTTCTCCCACTCTAGTTCTTTGCTTTCCTCCTTTTTCGTTTTGTATTCCTTCTTCTCTCAATATGTGTCCGTTTTTCTCAATCTTCCATTCAATTTGTCTTTTTACGATTCCCCTGATTTGCCACATATTCCAGACAGCCTTAACTGTCCTCAATAAATCAAGTTAACCTGACTCATATCCAGATCATACCGTCCATCATTAAACATACAATAAAGACAATGCAACTGCATGTAGACTCTGTGACCGCCATGAAAAGAACGCCCTCCAATCGATGGGTCAATGGCAACCGAACCAAACATGTCACACGCATCGCAGTTAGTACTAGCAGTCACGATTTGCGCCCGCCCAACGGCCTACCATCACGCAGTTGCCGTCGCTAGCGCGCGAGCGAGCGACTGAGCGGCCGGACGGGCGTTCGCAGTCAGTGCAGATCGACCTTTCGAAGCGGGCCGCCGGGCGCCGGGCCCTGTGTTGATGTCACGCAGGTCCCCGCCTCCGGCGCTGCAGGGTCAATCGATGTGACCCACTGTGACGAGCAGGGACACAGCCACGGCGGCGCGGCGTGCATCACACCCTGACGGGCCGCGTGGGTGTGCTGCAGGGTTCGGTGCTGGGTCCCGCAGTCTTTGGCTCGAGTGCGGTGAGGGATGTGAGGTGTCAGGAGCGGCAAAGAAGTCGGTGTGGTGTGTGTTTTCGAGGAGTGAAGTGAACGGACGACAGGGATAAGTGATCAGTGATTTGGTGGATATTATCTCAGGAAGCAACTTTGTGGAAAGCGTCAACAAAAGGCTCACTCAAGAGGACATATAATAAAACCCTGTTTGTGAAAGTGCATGAAACATGTAATGCGCAATCACTACAATACCAAAAGAGTGGATTTCGAAGAAAACATCTTTGAAATTAGCTTTAACATTAAGTAAGTTTAAGTTGAAGGGTAAATAAAAACTGCCTTCGTTTGGATGATGGGCAATGCAACAACGAAGAACTTAGTGCTTTTATTAAACGGCCATTGTCCCGAAGAAAGCATATGACCAGACTGCAGAAGAACCAAGCCTGAAGCCTTCCACCTCACTTTCATAGACCACTCCGAGACTCTAACTCTATCATACCAAGATGCTGAAGTATCGCCCACGGCTGCCCGGCGCGGCACAGCGGCGCCAGTCCTCTGTGTCCCAGCCGCCTGTCGAGGAGGTATGCATCATAAAATATATTATATATTATATCTATAAAATATTAAATCCTTATTGTGCGCGTCGCTAATTGTGGGTGGGTTCGATAAGGGTAACCCTGCAATGTCTACCGTTGAAGCACAGACTGCGTTCGTTCGCGGCGACATGTATGCTGTTTGTGTCACCCAATGACTCCTGGGATCATTAGGGATCGGTTACTGGGGTGATATGTCAATAAGAGGGTTGAGTAAGTGTGCTGCTTATGCTCACGATCATTGACGCAAATCACGAATGAAAAATATTCGATCCATTCTTAGGGAAATTTCAGTACAAGCCAAGACAATATCTGGATAGTATTTTTTTTCCAACCATGCTCAGAGATGGATTCAGAAGGTCCTATTCTGACCCAAATAAGACCTGTTCAATCGGGATCAGTCAACGCAGTGAAATGTGACGCAAGAAGGATCTATGTTTGTAGCTAGTTTTATGTAAAGTGCTATCATATTTTACTATGCCGTCAAAACTAGTCCATATTTCGTCAGCATTCAGAATAATTTTGAGCCGAAGTGGAAAGTAAACCATCGATTACAGCTTCGCTTGTTAGCCCGTCCATGGTATTGTTTGCATGCATCCTCATTTCAATCATTGATCTTCCAACTTAAAAGGAATAGTGCATGCCTACTATGAAAACGAGGGGACTAACCAGCGAAGCCTTGTTTGCATTACCACCAACGCTTGACAGTTGTGTGTCAAGGAGCACCACCCCCGTTGGGGGGGGGGGGGGGTGTTTCGCGTAGACTAGCCTCGGACTGAGATCCAGATCCGGACTTATAGAAGAGGAAATCCGGAGTGTTTGAGCTTGATCATTGTCACTCATGAAAGCAATTGTGAAGCTATTGCAAAATGCAGCCGAATTCACAGTAAGAGCGTCTCGGCGTTTCTCTTTACCTTATTCGGACGACTTTACTTTCTTCACTTTTCCTAAATTATCTTCCGTGATAACTGCAGGTGATATTAAAAATAAAAGGCCTTTCTCATGAAAATAGCGAAGTTCATTGTAGCCAGTTACATTAATCACTTCAATAAGTAGACGCCTACGCTTCGTTGTGTTCGATTAGTGAACCCCAAAAATGAAAAGCGGTGGGCTATTATACTGAGCCGCTCGAACCGTTGCGCAGCTATTTTAAATCGTGGCCTGTTAGTGAAATGAATCCCTATTATCTAATAAAGCAAGTATGCACATGTTCGATCCATATCGTAACTCGTCAGTAATTTGCATTCTGCATATTAGTTATATTCGTAAAACACGACTCGTCCATGACTACAATTCATCGCGATAGTGATTAAGCTGTCACTAACCGGAAAGCATATGTGTGCTTTCCCGGTTTTAACCTAACACATCAAACATTTATTGTTTGCCTTGCGTGCCAGTAACGATAAAGCTGAGATTTATCCGTGCGTTATAGCTTTGTTGAACCCTGGCCTGGCACGCTGCAGCAAATGTTACTTAGCTGCTGGGTGACGACGTCGAACACATTCTTTAATGTATCCCTGTGACTCTATAGATTACGCCTTCGATACACGTTTCAGGTTATATGATCGGAGTCAGGCGAACGTAATACAGCGTTGTTGTGTTATGATTTTCGAGAAGTGCTGAATGCGCTAGCAGAATTAATTAACCCGCGCCCGGCTGGGGGTCCTGGATTTCCACGCCCTGCTGGGGGGGGGGGGTGTTTGAACACCCCCCCTTCTAACTCGGCTCCTGGGCTACGTAGCGATACGCGGAAGGCGGCGTTCGAAAGAGCGTCAAAAATAATGACGAAATCACTTCGGTCAATTTTTTGGTCAGGTCAAAGGTCAGGTCACCAGAGGTCATTGAAGGCAAAATTTCGCCGATTTCCAGGTCGAATGTCGAAAATTTCCAAGAAGCCAACGCATAACTCGGGAACCAATAGAGCTACAGCGCCGCGGAAAAGCGCATTCGATAGCCCTATTAACGCCCTTTCTGAGCAATTCTCTCAGATTTGACCTAACGTCAACGGTTTTGCCTGCAGGGGGCAAAAACTGCAAAAATAGCCGATTTTTTCGGAAACAGTTTTTCTGCAATAACTTTTGACCCAAGACCTGTACGAGCTTACTTTTACCGGCATCGTGTTCCTCTCGTCGAGACGCATCGAATGAACTATAACTTGACCTTGAAAGGTCAACTTGAAAATTTGACCTCAGGTCAAGGTCATGACCTGACCGGAAAGGGTCATGTTGCATATCAGTCGATCCGTATCGTCGAGATGAACACATCTAAGGCGTTTTCATCGCTCTAGCATGCCTCTATCAAAAGTTATTTGCGAAAAACTGTTAGATACCATTCGTGACCTAAGATGACCTCAGGGCATAAACAAGGGTCCCGGACACCATTTTCATGTTCAGTGTGTCTAAACCACTTGTAATTCGGTGTTTGGGAGTGTTTATAATGTCTTTCGTCCAAAAGAGGCGCATTTCAATTTTCTCCCATTGACTTATAATGGGGAGGTCGCAAAATTGACCTGACCTTAGGTCATCGATATCAAAATTCTGAGATATACATTTTGTACATGCTATTGCTCTTAGCAATCGCTGAAAGTTTCAAAGCGATCGGTCACTCGGTGTAGCTATGACAGACATTGAAACTTTTTATGAGGTGAGGTCACTTCAAGTGACCTGGTGACCTGACCTTGAATGACCTTGGTCTGAAATTTTCACAACATGTGTAGAATTGATGTATGATAAGGTGTACCAAAAACGGCGGCGCTCCGCGCCGCCGTTTTTGAGATATTCGCGAAAAACCACAAGGGGGGGTGTTCAAACACCCCCCCCCCCAGCAGGGCGCGGGTTAATCAAGCTCAAACGTCGAATTCCAGCATGCTTAACAGCTTTCTCTACGTGCTGGCCATGGTTTGAAATGGCCAGACACGTAAAATAAAATAGACTTTTGTGTGTCGTGCTCAAACTACAGTACTCCCACTTGGGCTAATGATGCCCATTGCCCAGCTCTTCGACTTGTATAAAATTTCCGATCCATCCGTTAGACCCGTTTCATTTCACAGCAATTTATTAAATCTGCAGGTAGCGTTCGGTTTGTATTTTATGCCGATTGTGGCATTTTCTATCCGGAATGTCTTTCTCTAGCTACTGTGCATGTTGAATACGAGTTGATTATGCAATATACATACACGGATTTCACGGATTTAATAGCAATGCCATAGAGTATATTTTCTCGCATCACATCGTTCAGATTCAGGTGCAGTGCAGTGTGAATTTAATCGCGACACAATGATATTTCTGCTCAGTGCTTTGTCAACTTTACTCGTAACGTAGCTTTTGAACCAGAAGAATATTCAGATCAGCAGTTCGGTCTCATACTTGCAGTGATGAGTAATGTAGCAAATCATAAGCCCCCTCCCCCCCCCCGTAAGCTGTCTCTTTCTCTTTCCTTGCCCAGGTGCTAGAAACACATTCATTCTCAGTGCGTCTCCTAAAATCGATGCCCGTTTCTCAGGTACCCAACGGAAAGCCTGCATGGGAAGGAGAGCTGGAGCGAGGCCCTGGCGCGACCGGCGAGGTTCGGGAGTACAAAACACTGGCGACGGCAGCGCACCGACGCTGGCTGCGCAAAAACAACCAGGTAAGAGAGACGAAGGGTGGTATCGACTTAGTAAAGAAGCTAGATGGAAGATGAGCTTCCGAGTTACCGACAGCTAACAGGAAATGATGAGTTGTGACAATGATGGGTGAATAAACAGCAAAGACGATTGCCGGAGAGTAAGAAATGTGATGACAGGTTTCGTAAAATTCGTACTTTTCCCCAAGGTAAAAGTGGAGGCTGGCTTCTCTTCTTTTGCCCCTCACCTTTTGTCTCGTCTAATCAGTAAGCTTTGAGACGTCACTAATATCTGCCCTTATCTCCTAGAATTATGTAGATTGAGGAATGGATGCATGCGGTAACGGTATCCGTGACGTCTGTTTCTTACGTCTGGCCCTTGCCCCTAGTTGAATGGTTTAGAGACATGACTAATCCCTTCCCCTTCCCCTTAGGTAGCAGATATGAAAGAGACTTCTGCCCCACACCTCTTATTTTGGACCGTTCTCCCCAGGCAAAGGCTTCCTTCATAGGCGGCGGAACGGGGGGGGACCGGGGCACCGTGCCCCTCCTGGATTTTTTGGCATTTTAACATTAGCCCTACGGGCGTTGCATGGAAAGAATGGGACCAGAAGTCGGCAGTGCCCCCTTTAACCCTCGCATGTGTGCGGCGTTTGCCAGCTTCTAATGTGTAGGGGGGGGGGGGGTCGGTTGGACCCCCCCTTGCCGTTTGGCCCCTGATCGAGCTAGAGCTTCGCAGAAAAAACGAGCGTGTTGCCCGTGACGAGAGGAAGCCGATGATACCCAATTTTAAGGTCCTAGGTCATTGGTTGACCTTCCAGGTCAGGTCAATGACCCAAAGTCGGGAAAATCGGGACCTATTAGAAAGTCGTAAAGTGTGGCTGCAAAGGGGTTTTTCGGGGTGCTGATCACGAATATCGTGTTAGTTTTGATCACAGATGATGTCTTTAAGCATTTAGACCAGGTCGGGTCAGGTCAGGTCATGTCAACCAGTAGGGGTTGTGACGGGTATTCGTAGTACGTGTCAACCGCCTCTGACAGCTTCGTAACATGTTACGAAGGCACCAAAACTACTTCGTAAATGTTCAAATGGTTGCTAAATTCGAATTCAGCTCCAAAAACTAGCCTAGAAACATGTAAAACTCGAAAAAGTGAACCGAGGTCACCCGAGGTCACCAAAGGTCAATGACCTGACCTGACCTTCAGGTGACCTTGACACCCATTCTAATGCATGGGAGCAACATCAAATTACATGTTTGAACGTTTGAAACCACGAAAAGCTTGCAAACGCGCGGCTAATGCGAGCCGACATACGCGGAATCGCGATTCCGGCCAAACATGGTCTCGGAAAAGAGGTCACAGGTCAAAGGTCATTTGGGTCAGGGTCATGAAATTCTCCGGGTAGGTGTAAAATTGATCAATGAGAGGATACTGAAAGTTTCGTCGCGATCGGCCGCTTTTTACGCGAGTTATTCGCGAAAAACCATGGGGGGTCCATCCGACCCCCCCCCCCCCTACACATGCGAGGGTTAACCCTCGCCCGCACATGCCATTTTCCCATCCTAGAAGGCACATGGGGGGGGTGGTTGCCACCCCCCCCGCGCCATTTCGTTCCTGTTGGAGATAGAGCTTAGCGGTAAAGACCAAAAAGATTCTTTGGGAAGAGAGGAATCCAATGATACCCAGTTTTACCTTCTCAGGTCAGTCATTGACCTTCCAGGTCAGGTCAAACTAAAAAATGTTGCTGTTTTGGGTCACCGTTGGATATCAAGTGCGCTGCTTATCAAATACCGATGACGATGCTGTTTTCTGGTGCCAAGCCAGCTAGAACCTCTGTGTCACACTACCCGACCAGATTTTTTGCTGCTGAGGTCATTTCAGGTCAAGTTAGGTCAAGGTCAATCATATGTGTTTGTATGTCTGTGTGTGTCTGTCTGTATACTGATGTGTGCACCGATTGTTTTTGGGTCCATATTACATGAAATCATGATCTGAGAAGCTTTTACCAAAAATGCAGTCAAAAAACTTCACAAAAAGTAAATTCAGCTTGCCTAAAACGCAATTATCTTAGATGACCTAGGTTAACCTTGACCCTGACCTTGACCCCTGTACCTCGTCGAACAACATGTTCCATGATAGGTGGGAGGTAAGACTGGCAAAAAAGGCCGAAATCAGGGTGTCAAAAGCTCACAAGACCCATGGCAAACGCAAGATGTTGAGAATTGGCCATTTGGGTCATGACATGACCTGAAAACAAGGTCATATCTCCGAAACCAAAAATCACAGAAACTCGAAATTTTCATTGGACATCAGGAAAGGATAGAGGAGCAGCTATACAAAAAATCAGCCTTCTAGCTCTACAAATGTTGATTGCAGAGCAGAAAGACTACCTGGGGGGGGTGGCAACCCCCCCCCCCCCATGTGCGGGCGAGGGTTAATTGAAGGTGTTCCGCCGCTACTGGCTTCCTTGACTTAACGTTGACTTGACTTCCTTGACCTCAAGTTCTGACCCCTCTTCCCCAGGTGGAGGACGTGGAGGCCTCGCTGCAGAAGGACGGCCAGGGCGGCTTCACCAACTCCTCCTCTGCCAACATCGTCCTTTACGTCGGCCTGGGCATGATCGCCATCGGACTCATCATCACGTTCGTCGGGCTCGGCGAACGAGGGTGAGAGATGATAGAGCTTCGAAATTAGATTATAAAAGGCAGCTTCTTAGATTGTACACGGGGATATGGATTTTTGCTTGCGGAGATACAGGGTGATCGAAAAAAGTGTCACCCCTAATTTAAAAGCCATATAACTCGCGATTGGTTGGTCGTACGACTTTGCGCCAGGCAGCATTGGAAAGCGCATACAATTTCCTTTCGAATGGATGTAAATATGCATGGTTTATGTCGCAAACGAAGATGTAGCTATTCAAAAAGTATGTTAAGGACGCAATTTGGCGTGTTCAAAAGTTTGGTTGTGCAAATTTGTACTTTTGACAGAGTTTTTGATCTGACAGCTCACGTGACAGCTCACGTGAGCATTTTTCTTAACTATTCCATGGTTACCGCTGCATAAAATTGATAATCCGGTAGTGCAGGTTGTCGCAATGTTTCTCTAGTTACCGGCGAATTTATGAATAATGAGGCCGCATGTTTGCAAGGAAGATCTGATAAGGTCTTCCTTGTCTAAAGTTAGCTGAGAAACGAGTCTAAGGTCAGCTGAGAAACAGTATGCAGTGAACAACATACACTCCATGTGTAATGTGTAAGGTGTGTGTCATGTTGAGTTACGATACTCATTGTTCTCGTTCAGCGGTGTCCGATCCCGTTCGGTGAATTTCGTTTCACGTGAAAGCCGCACATTGACTGGTTTTTGAGCCCATGGGGACATGATTTGGAATAGAAAACAATCATGAATACATTCAATTGAAAAGAAATTGCCTGCTTTTTCCGATGCTGCCTGGCGCGAAGTCATCCGGCCTACCAGTCGCGAGTTATGTAGATTTTAAGTTAGGGGTGACACTTTTTTTCGATCACCCTGTATGTCACATAACATGTTACGACCACTCACCTAATTATCGGAGACTTTGTTATCGGCTATCGGAGACTTAAAATTGCACTAATTTATGCAATCAATACACCCTAAACTCGATTGCGACACGGTGACAAGGTACTCATTAGATGATAATTATCATTAGATTATAATCTATAAAGCTGTGTTTCTACCAGAAACTACTTCTTGTGTAGTCGTTGTAACCGAACAGTTGGCAATAGGCAATTATTCAAAAGGTTAGGTACTGTCAATCTCCAGTGTGGAAGATAAAACTTTCAAACCATAACGACTTCTCTGACGACTGTCTATCCGGCATTTGACCGGCAGGTTTCAGACGGACGAGCTGAAGCTGATCGGCCCCAGTCTGATCGGGTCCGGTCTGCTGTTCTGTCTGCTGCGGATATTCTCCTGCACAATCAGCGCCTATCGGTGCTGTCGGTGCTGCCGCTGCTGTCGGTAAGAATTGGAGGGAGGAAGAGGGAAAGAGACGGAGAAGGAAGGAAGAGAGAGAGAGAGAGAGAGAGAGAGAGAGAGAGAGAGAGAGAGAGAGAGAGAGAGAGAGAGAGAGAGAGAGAGAGAGGAAGGGAGTAACTGTACGCACTGTACTGTAACTGTACAGTACAGTGTAAGCTGCCCCTCGTCATCAGAGGTGTGCCACCGGTGTGTAATGTACTCGTATTTCCATCACCTTTCAATGTAATGTATTCCCCACCTTCAATCACGACAGTGGCAACGAGGAAGAATCTCAGCTGATCAGTCCCAAGCCGAGCAGAGTGCACAAGTCGGCCGGCGCTGTGACACGCCCGTCGGTCCACCCCAACTTTATCAGTGACGGCGAGGAGTCAGATGCCGCCGTGCTGGAGACTGATACAGGTAAGTACTGTTGAGGAGCGCTAAGAGGACAGGATTGGGATGCGAGAAAGCAGAAATGCCGTATAACGCATGCTTTTTTGTTTTGTTGGGTTAGGCCCTTTCGGTCTGACAAGACCATTTCAGAGCCGGAAGGATGATAGGATATAGGGGGAGACATTGGTCTGGGCCGACACCCTAGAGAGTCGCCGGGGCTGAGCCCGTCCGAATGGACAGGCCACCCAGCCCCCTGACGGTCACCGCACCCTGCTACGGGCCTGCTCCTGAAGTGGAATTACCCATGTCGGATAAAGGTGACCGTTCAACACGGATCAGGGGATTTGCGGTGCGGAGGATGATTTGAATGTCCTGAGGATCGAAAATGATGGAACCCGGGACGGTGTCTTCTCTGTGACCTGGCCTGACCGATTGTTTGTGTCGTTCTCCGACAGATGGGGACACCAGTCACGTGCCGGTGCTGCCACCCATCAGGGGCGGCAGGAGTGTCGGCTCCGGCGCCACCGCCCCCAACTCGGCAGAGGTGCTGCTTGACCCGCAGGTCAGTCCAAGGGTCAGTCGCAGGAACCGATAGACAGCGGGGGCTAAACCCCAGGTCAGTTGGCAGGAAAGGATAGGATTAGACAATAGACCCCCAGGTCAGTTGGCAGGGCGGACAGGCACACCACCACCGGGTTAGACCCTGGGTCAATCGGCAGGGATGGACGATCCGACGACGAACAGTCGGACTTTCGGGTCATTTGGCGGAGACGGACATTCACCTGTAGGGAATAAGCCCCTACAGGTGTAGCCCAGGACAATCTGTAATAGCGGATGAGCCCTTGAGGCTAGACTCTGAGGTCAGCCGACAAAGACGAGTAAACACGCGAAGCTAGACTCGATGTCAGAGTGTACACAATAAAGGTACACGATTAAGCATGAACCTAACCGAATTATCAACTCTGTTACAAATCGACACAAGTAAAAACTGAGACATTCGTGTGTGTTTTCTTTCAGGGTCTGGATCGACCACACTCCCGAGGGAGCGTAATGGGGCCTCTGACACCACGAAGAAAGGAGAGCACCTCGTCACAGATCGAACACGAAATCGATGACCTCATCAAGTGATGACGAAAGAAGAGAAAATTGTTCCTCGAAGCTGAAAGATATACACCGTTTTGGCAAGAAATGGACTTGTTGCACGGTGAATTATTATATTTCGAGCTATCAGATGATCAGACTGGATTGGATCAGAGGAAGATTGATCAGGAAGGATTCCAATCTCGGGGCTATCTGAGGATTCGTGCTGGTGTTCAAAGCGACTGAACCTCTAGTGACTGACTCCAGAGACTCTCGTGGTGTGCTATATTGTGATAATGTGTTGGAGGTGTTACGAAATTCTGGGCATCAGCCTGATATTCTGCTACAAAGCAGACTTACAGAGTGTTTACTGAACTAGATGTGATGCACTGGGACGAATTTATCGATCCGCTACACAGGATCTCAAGTGAGCTGAAGTCGATCTTTTCAGTGGATGGACATGACATGCCTTCGCTAAACGGGACATCAGACTATTCCACCGGTTAAGTGACTAGTGGCATCAGATAAGCGGTGGAGATCGAACTATGTATGCGACAAACGTCGCGAAGCAAAGACAATAACGGCAAGATGATTCGGCTTGTCAGCAATGCAGAAGTGATATTTTTAGAATAGAAAAGGTGTTCCTTTTCGCAATATTTCGCAATGAGCAGTTGTTGCGCTTGATTTGCTGTTTTTCGTGATCGGTGTTTTGAAGGATCATGTGGTTTTCCGAGGCGTTGTTCTTTATACGTCTTCGTGCTTGGACGGACTGTTTGCTTTTTCGACATTTTCTCACTGCTTGCACTTTATTAGAGCGTGCAGTTTGCAATGCACAGAGTGATAATTGGCACAGGGTTAAAACTGGCTGAGTAGAGAGTTGCTTACCGATGATATACACTTACCGATGTAATCTTCGGCGATTCGTTTAGAAGCGATGACGCATTTTATTTCTACAACCAAATGAATCAGTGACGTAACTGTGTATGGTTCGCAGTCAAAAACAATGCTCCGATTTTAATTATCTTTCGGAATGATGTATAAAAGCCTTCTATTTATAAATGTTTTATTTATAAGTGTAAGTGAAGCAATAACGCCATGTGTACATTATTGATCATTCTTGCTATATAGTTCTACCATTCAGGTCTCAAGCCACGCTGCTATGCATGTGCTTAGCTGTGTCGCTTTGGGATGCTTTTTGGGATTCATTGAACGCCTTTCGAAACGAATTTTGCCATTTAGAAGCACCTTCCTCCTACCGTGTTTAAGTGCTTAGGTACCTAAGAGATGTAGGGGTGACTTTTATGCTCTGAAATAAATGACTATGCTATCGGTGAATTAAACTGGACCTGAGGTGCATCGTTTCTAGCGCTGCTATAATGCACATTGCACATGTTCATTGTCTGTGATTCATGGCTAACAAATAACATATTTATTGCCATCATCACTTATGCATTAGGATATTGCAATGGACCTGTGATATCTTTATGTGTCGCGTTAAATATGCATATGCTATAATGAAAGTCTTTTGTTCTCATCAATGATCAAGCCATTATGTTTCACACATGACACGGCCACTTTATGAGGATGTGCAAGCTTTGCAATTTTGTCTTTTGTGAGAACTATACCAGCATTTTAACGTGTGCTTACACCGCTTAATAATTTAGCAATAAATCAATGCGAATATGCGCGATAACATCGTTGATATAAATAAGATGGTTGATGCATCATGGGCATGGCGTTCCTTATCATTGTGATATTGCGTTAAATTATGAAATAAATGTATAATACCAAATATTTGCATTGTAGCATAATGTCTAATGTTTTACAGGACACAATGCCATCCATGCAACTGCTCGGATCATCTTATTGTCTGCTGTTTTGATCGCAATAAACTCTTGGTATATCGCATAGTTTTTTTTTTGCAACAATAGAATTGCATACTTATCGACGAAAAAGATAAGTGGACTGTCTAATGGAGCAGATGTGACGTGTAATTATCACGTAACAAACAGATTATGGGATGGATTCAGATGGTACATGCCTCAAGGATGAATGATTTTTCGATATGTATGCTGTGGGATGAGGGCTGAGGCTGATGGTGAAATTACGCTTCGAATTAGCTCTTATGTGATGTGACTCATTAAATACAATTTCTTATTGATCTCATTCGCTACCCGTTGAATTTCAATGTATTTCGTCAAAGCATATTTTTCCAAGTGTTCTCGCCTCACGTTCCATATAGCACGGCCCCCTTTTAATTGCCATCCAGGTGATATCCACCAAACATGGCTATCTGACGCGTCAATAGCGCCACAGCTGATAGGCGGCCAGCCAGTATCGAGGGAACACCTGTGGATGAGGGCTCTGGACCAGCTGCGTCACGTAGCCTAAAAATGTACAGTGGGTCTATTTAAGATCTCCAGAGCCACCACGTGGCGCTACGGTCGGGGTGGAGCGAGTCCAAATCGCGAGGGGAGTGAGGTCACCGGTCATTGTGGGGGAAGGAGGGAGGGGAGTGACGCGCTATCGCGGCGCGGAGCGTGCGTGCGCCGGGAGTGGGCCGCCCGCCACCTGCGCCGCGGCTGAGGGGAAGGGATGATGGTTGCGGGTGCCTTCACTCCGGTATGGTGGTATCCTTTTCATGTGCAGCCAGAAAAAAATGCACCTGAAGGGAATAATCGTCTCAAACAAACGGGCAAGCGAAAAACGCCATTCACTTAAGCAAAATCTTAAACAAATGATAATTGAAATCTAGGACCTAAACTTTTAGTCGACATTTGCATGCTGTCTTAGGCCTTTCTAAATTGCTCTTTGAGTTCCATGTTAATTCATTGTTTGGCACGCTCAGCATTGGTGGGCTTTATCGGGTCCAAAAGAATAAAAAAATAAGGGAGAAGAAAAGAAAAAGGGTTGATATGGGGCCAGAAAATGACCAAAAATATTTTCTTAACCCGGCACCGCCTGGGCTATTTCCGTACCCACATCAGCCTGGGGGGGGGGGGGGTCGGATCCGACCCCCCCTGTTATCTCGAGAACCAATGGTCGTATCGAGCCCCGCGAGGCGGCGTTCGAAAGGTCTCTACGAGACCTTCCCAAAGCGCTCTTAAGATTTTAAGATTGAGGTCAACTTTCGGGTCAAGGTCAGGTCAAAGGTCAAATTCAGGGGTTTTGCATGATTAGGCTTACGGACAGCGGAATCGATAGCTGCTGCTCGAAACTCACCACAAATGACCTCAAAGACCTAGTGAAGGTACCATGTGCGTATAGGGGTCATACTAAGTACGGGTCAAGGTCAGGTCAGGTCACGAAAGGTCACGGTTTTCACTTTCTGATACATGGGCGTGCGACACATGTTTTATGGCTTATTTTTCACGCCAAATCCGATGGTAATGGTTATATGTGACCCCAAGTCACTGTGCTGGTGATAAGTGTGCATTGAAAGCATAAAAAATCGTTTATTCCATACATAACTAAACGAGGGCTAAGAAAAAAAATCAATTTTTCAACTTTTTATTTTTGACATAAAAATGCACTTTTCTAGACGAGCTTTGTCCCAGGAATCTAGTGGTGCCATTTGTTTTCACATGCGATGTTCAGAAGTGCCTCTAATTCGCGAAAATGCTTATGACGTCACCATGCCCTATGCATGTTGGAGCTAATTTTTACAATTTGGGGGTCAAAAATCAAGATAGAAAGTTGAAATTTGGGACATCTAATGTTCTAATAGAGCTCTATAACATATATTCCGGTTTTTTGGAAATTCTCAAAATTTTGGATTTTATTAGTTGTTTTCCAAAAAATAAAGTATTTTGAATTTTTAGGGGTGAAAAACGCATTTTATGGAAAATCCGAGATAGCCATTTTAAAGAACTCGTTGAGCTGCGTCTTTTCATGTCCTTAATTTGCAATTTGCTTTAAATCTCGATTTTTGGCGATTTTTTAAACATTTACCATTTTTGACTGAAAACGCCATGTAGTTACATCACTAAAATCGATATATCTCAAAAATTTTTGAAAATTTTTTCTTAAAAATTGCACAGGAGACGTCAAATTGATGGGGGAGAAGGTATGCCAAGTTTCAAGTTGATAGCGCAAGCGGTTCATGAGTTATTCAAGAAAAACGGAGGGGGGGGGGGTCGGATCCGACCCCCCCCAGGCGGTCGCGGGTTAAAGATTAACTTAGCAAAACCTTTAGGTGCGACAATTTTAACGTTGTTGAGAGGATACTGGGAAAAGCTAAATCACCGTGCTTGTCAGTGTTGCAGTAGAAGGAAACGTTTTGGTTCGTGTCTAGATAAAGCCAGAGCCGGGAGTGAGACTCGAACTCACTACATCGATTTCCGCTCACAGGTCACCCACCCTCTACGCTACGGGCATCTATCGCCCTGCGCAGCTTGCTGGACAGTGTTTCGGCCAAAGTTGTTGGTTGGATGTCTGACGTCTGTCAATGTTACGAGGCTAAGCCCGAAGGTAAATGAGGGAGCCGAACCAGATTGGACCGGGTTAAACCAGGTTGCACCGGGGTCCTACACGCAATCATGGTCAGAAAAAGCATAATTTCGGGTCAAATATTTTTATTAAATGATCTTATTGTTTTTAACTTATTAATTCAAGACTTAATGCAGAAAAATAGGATATTCGCCCACGCTTCCCCATCTTCTTTTTAACGACTAAATTTGAACTAAATTTAACGACTAAATTTGGCCCGTCATAAAAAAGGGCCTGCCGTTATAATTATTTACCCAAGAGCGCTCTACACAAGAAACGCCAGCCAGTCAAAAACCGGCCAACGATACGATCTTTCTAGTGCTTTAATTATATCAATTGAAAATTTCAGGAGATACGAATAACCTTAATCCTTAGATTTACTGGACGCTCGCAGCATTCGCTAGCATTCCATTGCCAGCTGCATTGCCAACATCATATATGCATTTATTTGAGTGCATCATAGTTAGTTGTAGTTGACAATAGATAAACCGGCCTTAGTAAACCCACGCCTCATCATCCTTCCCAGTTCCCTTCCAAGCGGCCACGCTACCGGCCGCCGCGCCGGGCCCACCACCGCGATATGGAACAGGCCGGCTGTAGTGCGTCATTTGCCTGCGGCAGTGCCCAACCGCGCCGGGACTGTTTGACAGGTCACCCGCACCGTGACCTCGCCACCCCCCCCCCCTAGCCCACCTCCCTAACGGGCCAGCTCGGTAGTGACCTCTCCTTGAATTTGACATGGACTCGACTAAGGCTCAACGCCATCTAGTTACGTCTGGAGATCCTTACTAGATCCACTGTACAACGCGTGCCTCGGAAGGAAGACGACAATTGGACGAACCGCTGGCCATGTTATATTGGCACTGATGCGCTCATGAAGTCCTCTGATGCTGGCATTTTGATATGCGGCTTCGTGACTTAGCGGCATGATGCAATTTCTTATTTTTAGCTTACCGAATCAGAGGAATCACGGTCACAAATTTGCCACTTATTTTGCATATAAATTAGATGTAGTTGCATTGCTCGTAAAATTGTTTAACGAGTGCGCTGATTGCCATAGTGTGCATTGTGCACTGTGCACTTTGCACCAAACGGCAGTTACTGCTGGGAAGAGGTTCGATGCGATTTTAAACGGTTGACCCCTACAGTACAGTTTATTTGAGAACTCAAACAGACGGGAATGTTCGTTGATGCGGCCATAGGGGCATTATTTTGTATGCTAGTGACCTGTTTTGCTTGAATCAAAACTTGTGAATGGCTAAGGTCCTACATTGGTGACATGTGGTTCATAGTCACCATTACATATGGGTGAGTCGACTAAACATTCGATCAAGCCGAGATGATATGTGAATAAATGATTTATTTTCTGCAAACCATGGTAGCAGTTATTCAGTCGACTGATAAAAATACAATTGGGAAGAAATTCAGTCAGGAGCTTTCCTGACAATCTAAGCCAGAAAATATAAATAACGAAAGAGTGATAAAAATGTATATTCACATTGTACTATGGCCATGAATGAATACAAGCCATCGCTCGCACCCATTCACTTCAGGGACACCTGGCCGGCTTGCGTAACAGGCGTTACTTGCAATATGACACTCGGCAATTAACTACCTGCCGTATTTCGCCAGCGTACTACGAGTCTACGCGGCCCGTTTTAAACACCTGCCTCGCCCGTCGCCTGGGGCAGTTGCCGCAATATCTATGTGGGACTAGCTCAGATACAGCTGTATGTAAGTACGAACGCCCGGCTGCAAGCTGTAAGAAGGTCGTGACCTGGCCGTGCAGTTACGGTTGTTTGCAAACAGGGCTCATGGCCATGAGGTCTGGGCGGTGGAGATTTTTTTTTAGCAGTCCGAGTGGGACGACTTCCTGTCTTAGCCGGATGGAAAGCGGGATTGTAATTAGCGAGGAAGGGGCCGGGGAAAGCAACACGAGTTGGTGTGGTCTTATGGTGCCGCTAGAGGTCTCGGTGAGGACTTGGATGCCATGAATTAAAGGCGATAATATACGGCTAGCTGTGTGAAAGTCTGGAGGATGATGACGTTGAGCTATTCCAATATCGAAGCACACCTGAATAACAAACATGTTATGTAATTGTCCACAATTCATGCGAGTAAAATTTACAGAATTGCACGACGAACCTGTCAGTTTTCAATGCCGACAATGAGGATTCAGGACAGACAATAAAGTCAATTAGTAACATCCGACCGACTCTCGTCCTGACCGGAATCCGTTGAACGCCATGCAGATGTCAGTACATAACATAACAGTTGCGTGTCACCATATCGTCCATACGGTAAGCTTTCATGAATCTTTGCTCTTCTCTGTGCGTTTAAATAGGTATTGAATTAGTAAACGGTCGCCTGCCGAATCTGTTCCGCAACAAGATTGGTAAAAAATTATGGATTCTTGAGCGATAAATGCAATTATACGCCTTTTTACCTCAGCCAATGCTAAAAGATGCACTGCCATTCAGCATCCGATCTATTATGTTTCATGGAAAACTTCCATGGACGTGTCACCCGAATAACACCGTCCGTTCCTGGTCGGCACGGGTTAGTCTTCTCGTTTGAACGATGCCGCCAGCGAAAACAGGCCTGGAGCACGTGCCGATCGGTACCTCGGACGCGCTTCGAGGCGAGCCCACCTCCAGACGTCGGAGATAAAAAAACATTATTATCTGGCCCGCTGACCACCTGCTCAACTGACCAATCAGCGCGCTGCGACCCCAAGACGGGCGCGCAGCGCCCCACCTGCCCCAGTGACGTCACACCACGTGCTCGCTGGGCAGCTGGCGAGCGGCAGCTGGCCAGCGGAGGCAGGTGGGGTCGCCGCCGCCGCCGCCGCCGCCGCTGGCTGCCGCTCGCCGCCGCCCGCCGCCGCCGCCGTCGCCCGCCGTTTGGGCGGTCAGTTGTGATCCCGCCGTGGGCAAGGTGGTAGCGGCGCGTGGCGCTCGCGCTAGAGACGGTCGAGTGTGCGGACGAGAGACTTCAAACCGATCGGTGGAGAACAAGAATTGGACGGTTGAGGTGAGTTCACTAGCTGCTATTGATGATGTGCATGTGTTTCCAAAACGAGCCGAATGTTTTGTTGACTGTATGTGTGTCTGTTGTGGAATATTTCATTGTGTATTCTGTTGTCGCTCATCTTAAGGCTGGCATTTCAATGGTATGCTTCTAGAAATGCTGTCAAAGAAATCTACGACTATCTACGGTTTAAGCGTTTTTAGTCCGATAAAACTTATTGGTGAACGTCTTTTACTCTTTATTTGGATACGATCGTACAGCGTATTTCAATGGAAATGGCAGAGTACCATTCAAATAAATCACTCCTCAGTTTCATAAACCATAAGCTTACACAAGCTATTTCGTATGGGCGCTTCATTACAAAGCATCAGCGTCAAACGTCTATAAAAGTATGCTGATTCTATTCAGGCATGCTGCTCCTTGGCTTCGAGCTAATCCCTATCCGTTGCTGGCATCCTAGTCGATAAGCCACAATGTCTACACACTACATGATCATTTGAATGCCCGAACTGAAAGGTAGCTACAATGCGTTAATCATAGTTTCTCATATAACCGGTTTTTTTGTCACTAGTTTTTTCTGTTGCTTGGTGTGTTTATTGTGCGTATGCTCATTACTCGCTCCTGACGGAATTCGACTTTTATTTTACGTTGGTAAAACTAGTTTTTGGGAATCTGGCATTTGATCATATTTCGAGGATTATGTCGTCCCGGTATTAGATTTTGATTGTTACAATGATATACGATCAACGTTCCCAATGACCCTCGCAGCACAGCACAGCTACACAGCTACACATAACTTTCGCCCGAAAAGGAAACATTTGCTCAAACTTGACGACAAGTTGGCGCCAAAATGTCCAGGGTTGGCGCCTAAATGTCCGGTATTTCAGCTCAGCTTTACACCACGCCGGCCACCGCTATTTGTAATCCTCCACAATCTTCAAAACCGCGTTATAATCATGGTGGCGAAGAAGCCAGCTTCAGCTAGAGTAGGCCGCCATTGCTTCCGATCCTGTTAGCATTGTGGCGGTATGACATTTGGGGGAAATGCATCATTGGTGAATGAATGAAGAGTACACATGGATACCATTTTGTCATGAATTCTGGCTCGCTCTGCTGGTTTTACTTACCTATTTAAGAAATTAAGTCCGAGGAGAGTGGGTGGCTACGAGGTCAAACTAAGCGGTGCCTGTTGCTATTGACACAACGGGTCCCCGTTGAGTGACCACCATGACATACGCCTTCCTTAGCGACTCAGTTGAGCCATGCAGTATGCATGAGTCGTCTCTGCAAGGATGTATGGTTGAGCTGCGGCTCTTACGTGCATAATCTGAGTTAGAGCTTCCTACATACGTCATCCGGGCTGAACGGCACGGCGCTAATGACGTCATGAGTTTATGGCGTCAGTAAAAATACAGCTCTGTGATGTGCGTTATCATTCGTAAACAGAAGCTTATCAGGAAGTCTACCTCATGTTTTAGTGAGGTGTGCTAGTATATTTTTGGTTACAAAAGGGCAGCTAGTTAGCGTTTATTTAGCGTCATTCTGAGTTTTGCGTCCTATTTTACGGCTCACGTTACGTTAACATCAATTGCTCCCTTCCACCCTACAATGTCCCGTAGAGCAGAACCCTTTTGTATCATCCGCTTCCTCTGTCTCATTTGCACAGGAATGTGCGGCTTAAACAGCTTTATATTGACCATCACAGGGCATGAAATTGGTCAGGCATTCGCTGTAAAAATTCGTCGCCGACCAGTTTCAAGGTCTTTCCCGTCAGCGGCCTGAATAGAAGGGCAAAGGAATGTGAATGGCGAAGGACCGTGGAATGGGGAGGGACGATCGGCAAGAGTACGCTTTTTGTGGGAGCAGCCCTGGCCCAGCGTAAAATCTCACCGGCTAGTCGAGTTTCTCCCAGTTTGCTTCTTTCGAGTTTTATCAAAACACGTTGTCTTCACGACGTCAGCAAATGCAGATAATCTGATCGCGCTGTTGTGATTTTTAGTCATTAGACGTGAAAATGACAGGGCGCCATCTTTCGTCTTATGATTATTAGCGATAATGTCATTAATATTGCGCTCTGGCGAGTGGCGCTGGCTTTGATTAGGGTGCCGTTTCGTTTGATGAGATAACCGCATTCATGTGCTGCTTATTGCTTAGTTGACTCATGAAGCTCACCGTAACCTACAATAACCGAAAAATGGTCGTGATTGTTTCGACTGAATGGCATCATACACTGAAAACAAGTTGAAAGAACGTAATGCAAAAGCATCTTAAAATATTCCACACTTAGGTTTTTTGGGTATTAGGGTAAACTGGCTTAGAGGCGAAGCAGAACGTCTGGTTCATGAAGAACACACACAGTGTTTCACATAGACCGGAGACACGAGCTGCTTCTTCGCGTACAGTCTTAGCGGCCCCAGGGGGCTTCACCTCGACCAACACCGGTTCTTCTTCGTTCTCCCTAGTCACGTGATATTCCGTCACACAAAGCGCGCGAAAGATAAACCCTTTGAAGGTTTTGCACGAACTAGCATCGGGTTTAAAAAGAAGGGGTTGTGGTTTAATCATTGTAATGGCTTTCATCAAGACCACGCCCGCGGCACCACGTTCTAGCGTCCACCGGAAGCGATCGCCATTTTTCGATCTCGTTGGGTCACGCTTTGTGCAGTGACGAGCGGCTGGTGCAAGATTGGGTGAATGGCAAGTAATCGAATATTGAAGAACTGAAATAAAGTTAATTTTTGGCTTGTCAAGTGTTGTGTATTATTTATATTACTTGTGATTGACAATGATAAGCAGTATCACAACGCTCTTCAAATGCATGGATGAATGCATTGGATGCTGAAAATTCATATGCAAGACCAATCAATGCAGTAAGTATTTATATGTTGTATAAATGCCCCATAGCTTAAATTATGCATGTGGTATTTAGACAAATCTTCCAAATGAAGATAAACCAGGAATAGAATCTTGCCATTTTGGGGTCAACTGAGTTAGGTATAAATTTGACTGATTTTAATAAACATATGTTCTTGCTGATTAGTGCAATATTTTATCTAGCTGCACTTTATATGTTAAGTGCATTATTTTATTTTTGGAGTAGGTTCATTGTCTCTGAAGTCAATCTAAGTCTCTTTACTCCCTGCCTGTTGAATAACGCATCCGCCCGACTCTTCATTCTAGGGGACGTGGCCATCTCCGCTCTGATTGAGGCCCTGGAGTCTGAGGAGAGCGTCCTGGCGCGCGGAGACGTCGACATCGTCGAAAACGCTGGCTTGAAGCTGGTGGTGGAAGGAGAAACTGTATGTGATTTGGGAGAATGCGATATCGCCACCCGGCTGCTGACATGGGCGATAGCGCATACTGTGTTTGGGAAAACATCCACTTGCTAAAGCTAAAAATGTGTTCATATTTGATATTTGTACAGAAAGCAATCCTGTGCGTGAAGGAATCAGCCTGAATAATTGAACATGCCCGAAAGGCTCTGGAATTCTTTGGCTTGGATGTGTAAGGCAAGTGACACGGCCGAGGGGAAAGCGTTCCTGCAGGCTGATTGCGGGCTGATCGCAGGCTGAATGCGGGCTGGTTGCGGGCTGATCGCATGGGCTGGTTGCGGGCTGGTTGTTCCTGACTGGAGACTTGCAGGCTGATTGCTCAGAGTAAAGAGGAAGGTAGTACATTTTAAGGTGTATCAAATAATGTGTTTGCGCAGCAGATGTGACGGCGCAGGTCGATAGCCATGCATGGGAGGTTCAATAGACGAATGAACGGGGATTTTGCGGTATTGCAATAGAACTGAAAGGGTTCTACAACCAATATTCAGAACACAGGGTGGTTTCCCTATAAACCTCAGGGACTTCTTCACAGACCCTTTGGGGTTCTTATCTAGGTGCTAGGAACGCTCTTATTATAAACCCTAAAGGCTGAAACAGACTCTTTCCGCGTTCAGGAAATCGCATGCGAGAGCCTATTCAAATACATTATAATTCTTCCCGCATCAATCGCATCCGGGAGGTGCGTGCGATTGATGCGAGCGTGCTTCCATGTATTTGAATAGGCTCTCGCAGGCGATTTCCTGACTGCGGAAAGAGTCTGTTTCAGGCATAAACCTCATAAGAGTCTTTGGAAGAATCGTGTGGATTCTTTTCATGAGAATGCTAAGCCGTCTACGTGAAGAACCATGGGGGTTCTGAAAAACGGTGGCATAACATTTTACTCCACAGGGGTCTAAATACCCCTGTACGTTCTTAACGTTCTTCCAAAGTGTTTTCAGTGTATCTATGCTAAACATAGTACTAAAACCGGACCAGGCTATTTGTAAAAATAAGGCACAGACCTATCACTTTATCTATGTGGTAACCAAATTACCTTCATACGTCTTAGGATACACTTTCTGAGAATTTGAAAGTGACAGTAGTGCTTCACTTTGGCATTATATCCGTTTTTAACTATATCTACGATAGGTACCGTAATCCGCGCGGGCTCTGGCCCAGGTTTGCCTCTCTTTTCCGTAGCGTGACAGCGTCCCCACCGGGCCCTCACCCCCATCTTACGTTCCTGGAACCGCCGCTGTCTGCAGGAGGCCTAATTACAACCAGACAGCAGCACCTCCGCCTCAGGCCACGGAGAGAGAGAACAATTCAGCCCGCGCCGGCGCGCGCTAAACGGTGTCTGAAAATTGCCCAGTGCTGGGCGGGTCAGCCTACCGGCCAGGCGCCGACCACCCTCCCCTCCCCTCTCCGCCCCTCCCCCAAGCTGTCCTGCAGCCGGGGGCACATACCAGGCTGCTGTTCGAAAACTGACTGCCCCACTGCACGAAATGGTCACTGGGGACAATGGTAGGGGACTGGTTGCAAGTCCTGCACTGAGTTAGGTGAGTTCTGCAGGCCCACTGTGGGTCCTGCGGTGACGGTTGAGTTTGAAATCTCCTGCACGTTGAATTCGATGTCAGTCCCACTTGGAGCTCATATATCCTTTTTCGTCCTGATTCCTTGAGCTTGTGCTCA